ATCAGCAGACAGACCTGGCCTCCCAAACTAGCACAAAATTGCCATTCTTTCAAATTCCAAAATACATTCTTCTTATAGAAAGATAAAAAAAAAATACAGAAAATATAAAGAAATAACCCAAAGCAGCACTACACAAAGATAATCATGTTAAATATTTTGTATAACTGGATAGAATTTTCTAGGCATTTTTTCAACAACTAAATTCATAACTGGCATGTAAATTTGTAACCTGAATTCATGTCTAAAAAGGTTGAAACTAAAGAGGAAAAGATCATTCGCTGGAAAAAAGCCAAATTCTCACTACTCATAGCACAACAATTCAGTATGCATATTCTACTGAAAAGAGCGCCGGTGACATCATTTTCATGCCAAAAAAAAAAGAGCAGAAAGAAATGTGTAGACTGTTTTAAGAAGCAGCAACTTACAGTATATGAATGAAAAGTCCAGGTGCTGGAATCAGTTTACCTGTATTCAAATCCCAGCTCGACTGCTTTCTGGTTGTGGGATGGACACCATCACAACCTCCACAAGCCTCAATTTCTCTAAGTGTCAAATAAAAATAATAGTAGTACCTACCTGCTAGTGGTTCTATGAAGAGTTCCTGTTCAACAGTGAGCAAAGGACCCAGCATGTAGTGAATGCTCAGGAAATGTTAACTGTTAGTATTATTATGATTTTTAATGATTATGATTTATGACGATCTAATGGGCGAAACTTACACCACAAAAATACATAATACCATGCAGGATAAACAAAGGGCCTTAGCAAAGCCAAACACAAAGGGTCACCAGTGTGAGAGGGAAGATGGGATATGAGATGGGCTAATGCTTGTATCAGTCCAAGTCCAGTCAGGAGAAGAGACCTCGCCTGTTTTTCATTCTTTTTTCTAGTAGAGAGAATAGTAAACTAAGAATAACAAATTATTAATTGGGTAACTAAAAAAGCCTAAAAAACAACATTAAAGTAGCACAAAGGAAGCGACTAGAGGAAGCAGCCACTGTAGACGGGATGCTCCCCTTACCCCCACAGCCTCACTGAAGCTTCAATCCCCACTGTAACTGTTGACAGTGAGAAATCTATTATGGTAATTGAAAGGTGGGGCCTTGAAGAGGTGATTAGATTGTAGGACCATGCCGCAGTGAATGCATTAATAATGGTGGTCAGGGGCGTGGTTCTGAGGGCTTTAAAAAGGAGAGTGCATGAACAGCTCTCTCTCGCTCTCTGCTCTGCCATTTTCTGCCATGTGAGACCCCTGGGTCACTGTTGCCCCCACCAAGGCCTTCACCAACGGTGTTCCCTGGAATTTGAACTTCCCAGCCTCTGAAACTGCAAGCAATACACTTCGTTTTCTTACAAAGTCCCTACTTCTGTGTTATTTTGTTATAAGTAACGGAAACGGACTAATAGAGTAGCTATACCCTTAAGGCTGGAAGAACAAAGAAAGAGGGTGGCATTATTATAATTTAGAGGTTTAAAGGGAAGCACCTGCAGAGCTACCCTCTGACCTCTGGGGAGGGGATGCTGTTGGGCTGGTGCTGGCATCTCTGAGTTTAGAGGCAGGGCCCCATGCAGCTGGGACCCTGCCCTCTGAGGAATGAACCCTGGCTGGTTGATGCTAGTATCTCGGAGGTGCGGACATAATAAAGCTGCTTCTGCAAATATTAGAACAACTGCAACCTGGATCCACTTGCTGTTACTGAAAAGAAACGCCAGGGTTAAAGGGGGAGGATAGGGTGAGGCTGATAGAGTAGGAAGCAGACTCCATTCCACTTCTGGGTCTATCTATACCCAAAAGAATTGAAAGCAAGAATGCAAAGAGGTGTTTACACACTCATGTTCATGGCAGCATTATGCACAAGAGCCAAAAGGTGGAAGCAACTTAAATGTCCATTAATGGATGAACGGACAAACAAAATGTTATACATACATACAAGGAATACTATCTGGCCTGAGAAAGGAAGGAAATTCAGATACATGCTACAACATGGATGAACCTTAAAGAAATTATGCCAAGCAAAATAAGCCAGTCTCACAAGAGGACAAATACTGTATGATTCCACGTACATGAGGTACTTAAGAGCAGGCAAGCTCACAGTGACAGAAAGTAGAATGATGGTTACCAAGGACTAGCATATGGGGAGTGGAAAATGGAGAGTTATTTAATCAATACAGAGTTTCAGTTTTACAAGATGAAGAGTTCTATGGGTGGATCATGGCGACGGTAGCAGGCAATGTGAATGCACTTAATACCCTCAACTCTACACTTAAAAATTAAGACAGTAAACTTTGTTAAGTGTAACATAAACTTTAAAAATTAAATGTGACCCTCCAAGTAAACGCATCCTTTTGAAGTTATTAACTTACCTCTGGAGGACATGCCAGAATTTCCACACCTCTTCTCTCATTGGGCTACTGTAAACTCTATCTTTTCAATCCTGTTGTGCATGACAAGTAAAAAAAAAAACCAAGAGTGGACTCCCCCAAGCAGCACGGTGGGATGCATAAGACTACTTTACACTCACACAGGACCTTATACTAATAAAATGATTTTTTTCTTTCCTCATTTATACTCATGACCCCTTGTGAGAGAGGCAGGTCAAAGAGATCTGTGACCCTCACTTTAAAGTTGAGGAAACTGACAGAGGGAAAAAAAAAAAAAAATCAGCCAAAAGAAGAAATAAAATAAAATTCAAATTTTCTGATACCAAACTCAAGCTGTAAGACATCCTCATAGAACCACCAGTTCATTACCAGACTGGAAAAGCAAATTCAATTTACAAATTAGTTTTGTGCTTCTATTGCTCCCATAAGAAAATGCTCCATATTACACAGAACTTTTTTATACATTTAAAAATAATTGCACTGTTTGACTTGAAAACAGTTTATTTAATTTATACAAATAACTACTAAATACAAAAAGTAGATTAAAACAAAATAGTTATTTTTTTTTTCTGGCAGAGTTTAAATGCACATAATGGATAATTCTGAAGAAAATGCATTTTCCCCACAGCGTTCAGGACTAAAATTCTACTGAAATCTTTGCTTCTAAATCAGTAATATATTCGGTGGTGTCACATGGGTAATGGCTAAATACGTTCTGCATATGAACTGAAAAAAAGTTACAGTCTACACACATACAAATGTGAAGCACTTAAAATGTGAATTTAACTGATAATAAAAGAAAATGTCCATTTCAGAGTATAGTGTTAAAAACAATTCAGTAATAAAATCATAAGACCACATAAAAATAAGCTTTAACATATGCACGAAGCAGTTTTCTAAAAACTGCTAAGTGCACAAGTAATAAATAATTTGCAAAGTTGTGTATAAACAATTCCTAATGTTCGGCATCATTGTAAACATCAGCACATGTGTAAAATGCAGCAAAGTCTGACATTACATTTTGTTTTGCCAAATTGAATTCCTATTATCCAAAGACAGAACAGTGAAGTACGCAGCCAACATTTTGGCAAGTTGGGTCTTGAAAATTAAGAGTAACAGTGCAAGTAAGGAATGCAAAGAATTCCTAGTGCAATAAAGAAGAGAAGCACAGGCAATATTGCTGATTAAAAATTCACCGCCTCCTTGAGTTTCCCGTGGGGAGTGTCTAGGAGGCTTGTGAAAGATATGCAAAGCCACTGTCTTAATGCCCAGATCTCTTTTAGGATTTCTCTGTGTTCCTCCAGTTCCCTACCTTTGCAACAGTGTCTGTCCAACATCAGTCTCTGCAGTCTGAACAGTTCGTGAAATGCCCAGTTCACAGTCATTGAGCGAGGTTAGGGTGGTTTTTGTTTCTCCCCAACACATGGCTGGGTAGGATGTCAGCCTTGTCAAAGCAGCCATTTGGGGAGGATTCTGTTCTGAAACCAGTCAGGCCAGCATTAGGTCCCAGCTGGACAACAACAACAATGTCAAATCTTCCTTCTTGACACCATGAAACTGTCAACAGTCAGTTTTCAATTTGTCTAGGGAATTATCAATTTTGGTCAAAGTCTTTTTGATGCGCAGAGCTGTGAGTCTTGCAGATGGATTTTGATACCAGCATTCTTTCATCAGCTTGGCCAGAGAGGTTAATGTCTAAGGAAAGAAAGAACAAACACCACAATGACAAATTGACATTTTAGTGGCCCTGGAACCTGGGCAGATTACATGTAGCTGTTTTGAAGAACTCTGCAGTTCCTGTGAAGTTAAAGTGAAGTTACAGCCATCATCTTTAAACAAATAATCAAGGCCTTAATTGCTGATAAAGAAGCCACTCTTAGAGTTTCATGAACTTTGCCCTTTGGACTCTTAATATGACCAACCATCTTACTTTATTGGGTAAATCACATAGGCCAAGTTGGAACCATTGATGTTTTATGAGTACTAAAAGCAATAATACTAACCCAGTGAAAATACTGAAATTTGCAAATGGGGTCATTTTTCAATGTTTCAGATCAGCTACTACTTATGAATAGTAGTATCTGCATTGTCAGCATTGAGCAGTTTGTGTCTGGATTTCAGATATGTGGAGATGGAAAGGAGCTTAAAAGAATCGCTCAGAGTCTCGGTTTGCACAAAAACTGAGGTCTTAGGGCTAGCAGCAGTAGTAATGATTCCTGATTCCTGATTCCTGGAGCAGGCCAATCATAGAAATTCTTGTGAATATTATCATTCATTAGTAAGATCTATCAGATATGGCTTTTTCGAGAATGAGACCATTTTCTAAACCTAATCACCTAGGTCTAAGACCCTTTTATATAAAATAGGGAGAGAAAGTAATAAATGCACAGAGTAGATCACTCAGATACTATACCAGGTAAAACTGAAGAGCAAACAAACAGCCAACAGCTAAGGATAGCTCCAAAACTAAGAAACTGGCACTCTTACCGGGTCTGAGAACCACCTGTTGGGTATGTTTGGCCTCTGTTGATCCACACAGACTACTTTCCTCATATCTTCAAAACTTGGGTCATTGGGAACCACATCGTAGAATGGTGGCTTGTAATCCTCCACTATACCTGTACACAAGGACAAGAATTATGCTGGGTTAGCAAGAGAATAGAGTTAAAACGAGGGTTTTACTGGTGTCACAGGTTATAATGTGACAAGAAAAAGTACTAATCACCTTCCTCATACCTCAGGCAATTCTGGAAGCTATGGGTAGGTCCTAAAATAAGTGGAGAACAAGGCAATAAATATATACCCTGCAGAAAATTGGAGGAAGAATAATTGTTAGAAGAAAATATGTGACAACTTCTCACGTATT